TCGAGCTGCAGGCTGTCACTGGTGGTTGTTATTGTTGTTACTTCTCTTAATAGCCACAAAAGGAGCCAGGCAAGATTTAAATCCGAAAGGCCATCATAATGGCTTGACTAGAAAAACTAGGCTTGACACAAATATTGTATGAACACATCATCCTGGGAGAAGAAATTATTCTGAGTTTTGTTTAGACTCAAACAAGTAACAGTTCAAAAGACAGATGAAATATACACCTAAACAAACAAAAAATAAATAAAAATACTTCAGCCATTAGATAGTTTTCCTGATTAGATCCTAAGACTGGAATTAAGTTCACACTGGAAACTGGGATGCATTCAATGGCCTAGGTTTGGATTCGAAATCTTGCCTTCTCCATGCTCCAGCACCTTCTGTGCCTGGCAGAACTGAAATGGCTGAATTTGACTTGGATTCGAAACCTCTCCCTTCCTAGCTTGTGTGACCTTGGGAGAGGTTGGCAAGTGGTAGCTCTTGCCTTCTCCATGCTCCAGCGCCTTCTGTGCCTGGCAGAACTGAAATGGCTGAATTTGACGAAGCACTAAGATGTCTTTTAGGGGAAACTTAACCCAACTGCAGGTCAGCTCAACCACATGGAGAAGAGTAGTCTCCATGCCTGAGCACCAAGACAAGTCTTGATTTTTAGTTTTGATAACAAAAATCAACCTTACCACTGGAGTTTAGCATCTGACTGCAAGTCACACTTTTTTATCAGCAGCACAACTAGAATTGGACAATTCAGTCAAGTTCAGTCTTGAATTGCTTACAGCGCAGTTCCCATAGAGAGCATGGAGGGGACAATTTTGCTAAAGAAGAACCACGTATGACACACATGTGCCCTGGTTGGTCATGTGACTGGAAAGCTAAACACCCACAATCCTCACTTCAATTGCCACAGAGACATTGTCACATGGAGACATTATGCCTCCAGCCTCTCAATCCATTTTAAGAACAAGTTCACCAGATCAAGTGTATTTTCTGCAACTTTCACTAAAACCATGACATCACTAGTATATGTCCCATTTGATAAATTCCGCTGTTGTCAGTGCTAGGATAAAACTTGTTTTACTTGATGAATGAGTGCCATTTAATTCACAAGCAAAGGAGAACCTAAGGGAACTCCATGCATTTTCTTTTCAGCCTGCGTTGCTAAGTGTGAGTGAGGTTCTATGCTTCTATGCCCTATCTCAGTAATTATTATTCTGGGGTTAATTGGGTTTTCTGCATTTTTTTTTAAACACAGCTTTCTTCCTGTTCCTTCCCTCTGTGACTGTTGGAGCTGCTGCAGTCACCTTGTTCAGACAGGCGAAGAGGTTGTCTGAAAATAGAGCTCACATGAAGGAAGCCAAAACAAGAGATGGAATGAGAGAAAATGAGATCTGTCAATATCTCTTGAGCCCCTGGACCAAGCTGTGCTGGAAGCAATAGTTCTGCTGTTTTGTGTTGTGGGTTTTTTTCCATTGATATGGGCCAAAAAATTTCCTTTTGGCTTAAGCCATTTTGAATTAGATTTTCATTCATCTAAAAGTTCTGAGTAACAAAGAAAAAAATTTTGAGATTATCTGACAAGTACTGTCATTACTGTAATTCATTTCCCTTTTTTTTAAAAAAAAGGAAGGAAGAATAACACTGGATACAGCTTTAGGGATGAACCCAAGAAAGTGAAATTTTTGGACATCATGTTTATTTCATGTCAAAATTACAATAAAAATAGATTAAAAACAATTCTTTCAAAAGACTTAGCATTAACAAAAGAAAAAAGAAGGTAAAAAGCCTTTTAGCTGCCCTTTTTATTGACAGTTCTCCATAAGAGGAGAAAAGAGGATTTTAGTAAAAAAAAATTTAGACACAAAAGCAAGAAAGAGAAAAGCACTGCAACATCCACAGGAAAACTAATTTTTCAAAGAAACACACACAGTGTTCTAACAGTGCAAACCAGGAACATACCTGCCAGACCAAATCGGGACCAAAATTAAAACTGGGAGCTCCCTGAAAGAAGATAAATCACAAATAACTTCAATTCATTCTGCTTCCCTTCATTTTCATTCAGGTGACCCTCTGTAGGCTCAGCTGGCCGGTAATAGATGTGATGGCTACCGAAGGCCCTCCCCATGTTGTGCCCCACAGAGAGAGACCTTCACAACTCTACAAGTGCGAGGGGCACAGAGAGAGTCACTACATGTATGAGATTGTGGTTCTAAAGTGCTTGACTTCACAGATTTTCACAGTAAATACCTTTCTAGAGTTGATGCAAAGTATAAGGGTGGTGAAGATGAGAAGTCAGAAAGTCTCCCTCAGATTCACTAAGTAGCAAGGGATAAGTAGGAATAACTTCTAAGCCCTTACTTCACGCCACCTCCCTGAAAGTACTGACCAACGTACTCTTGGAAAGCTCCCTTTAACTCCAGATTTTGCCAAGGCGCTATATATGACACTCATGTATACCCAAAGGTGTTTAAGTTAAAACACAATAGGGTCTCAAATTCCACCCACCAGGATTAAGGGTCAGATCTATTTGATAGTCAACCCTATAGTTTATAAAGTATTGGTTTCCAATATTCCCTCCAATTTAAAAGGGATGTAATAAAAAAAAATCAAATGAGATCACAGCCTCTATCACAAGCTACACACATGGCTGAGGAAATGACCCTCTACCAGCTGCCTCCATAATTCAATTTATGCATGTTGAGTAGATGCTAATGGGACTCAGACTTCTCTACTGACAAAACAGAAGGCTATACTTTGTAAATAAGCAGGCATCCAAAAGACAACAGAAACACTCCAGGCCCGATTCCCTGACAAATACATTGATCATCATTGTCCTTAAAATGTGTTCTACAAATCAGGAGCATTGGCATCATCAGAGAAAAACTCCAGACTCAATTTACTGATAATATATGGATATAAATTTGCCCTTAAAAAATAATGTTTTTGTGCCTACCCACATAGATAGCCTAAACAAGTGTTTTTATTTATTATTTTTTTGTTTTCTAACAAAACATATGATGTTAAAAACAGTAAGCTAGAATCAAACAGATTTCCTATTTATTAAAGCCACAAATAAGTACTAATTGTCTCTGTAGTGACCTCTACTAGGAAAATGCCCACAGCACTGGAAGAGATGTCATTCCTGGCTTCTCCAAATAGTGTTGGGACACATTTGTTCTTTTATTTAAAAAAAACACACAATACTTTGGAAATAGATTTTATATGTATCCTCTTTCCCATTACTAATTGTGCGGATATAGGTGTGGAGGTGGGTAGAAAAGGGACTGAATGACTTTTTGCAATAAAATAAAATCTTTAAGCCCTAACCAGTTTGGCTTAGTGGATAGAGTGTCGGCCTGCGGACTGAAAGGTCCCAGGTTCGATTCCGGTCAAGGGCATGTACCTTGGTTGTGGGCACAGCCCCAGTAGAAGGTGTGCAGGAGGCAGCTGATCTATGTTTCTCATCGATGTTTCTAACTCTCTATCTCTCTTCCTTCCTCTCTGTAAAAAATCAATAAAATATATTTTTTTAAAAATCTTTAAAATTAATTATTTGTCGTTTCTTTCTTTTTTTTTCTTTCTCTCTTCCTTTATTTTTTTTTTCCTTCTCAAAGTTTCAAGTTTGGTTCTAATGTGAAGTGAGGATGAAATCTCAGTTATGAACCAATCTCTCTCAGTTGTAGAATAAGTTTCATTTCAAAATAAGTTACAATTACATAAATTCAAAATGAATTGATAAGCCAAAATTAGCAATTATTTTTAATCTTACTGGCAGCTGGTCCCTTTGATTATATTTTTCAAACCAATTTGCTGCAAATGCATTATGAGTACCTTGACTCATGTAACCTTCGGGAGACATATAGTTTAAAAGCAAATGTTCTACATTATTTCCACAAAAATCTACTTGGATAAAGACACTTTCATTGACTGGAGGAAAAAAAAAACAACAAAATTGTACATGCCAAGAACTCAATGGTTCATGTTAATTTATTTTTCCCTAGGACATGGGAATTTTTGGCAGACAATTCAAAATCATGTGCTATAAGAAAGACAGAGAAATCATTATCCTATCAGCAAACTTCATGATTCTCTTGCAGGCTGATGGTGACAGCAAACTCTTGAGTGTTAAACTCAAGTGTAAAATTACTAAATTGCAGACATTGTTGTTGCGGTGTTGTCATGGAGCAATTTAAATCAAGAATTACTTATTCTTAAGATAAATACTCTGTTTTCTTCTGGCACAAACTGGAAGTAACAAGACTTCAAATTTCTAGATACTGACAAAGCAATTGGTTTTCATTTAGATCTATTTCTTAATCATAAATCGTGATTTGGCCACCATCATTTACATCATTATTCTTTAAATACCCTGAATCCATCCAGAAGTATCTTTGATCCTTTTAAATAGCATATTTCTATGCTTCCACAGCTAAAGAGGATACCTGGAGAGGATTTTAAAAAGTATTACCTCCAAGCATGGTTAGGAGAAAATACTGGAGTATTTTCTTTGATAAGCAAAAAAAAAAAAAAAAAAAAAAAGTATTATTCTTTGATAAGCAAATTTTGCTAACAGCATCATTTTAATTATTTAATGACTTCGTTGTATATAAAGCCAAATCTTAGTTTGTCAAGGTGTCTTTTCATTGCAATGTGAGTGGGAGGGGAAAATATTTTTTTTCCAGGGTTAGAAATTTACTTTTAAAGCACACACAAAACATCCCTTAAGGGGAAAAGCATCAGCAATGCTCTGGAAAGGAACCCAGCTCCTTTCTGCTCCTCTCAGCCAAGGGATACTTGAGCCCTTTCTTCTTTTGCTCAGAAAAGGAATCTTAAAGGGCCGAGAAATTAAATGTACCCAGGAAGGCAAAAGACCCAGAATAAAAGCACTTATCAGGGAGCCTAGAGAAAAACACAACATTCATTTCACATGTTTGCTAGGCACCCATCAAGTTAGAACAAACTCCAGAGCCACAGCTTTTTTGACAAATGTGAACAGCTCCTACCTTCATCTCAATGACAGTCTGGAGAGCCTTCGTCTTGGCTGGCTCCGGCTGAAGTTGGCTTCTCCGGTGCAATTCCTGGGGAGGAACACGATAGAAATAAGCCTGACGGTTCATCCTCCTGTTACACCATGGCCTTTACACAGGTGCCACACAGCCCACCGGGGGCAGGTTTGCTGTGCACAGACATAAACAAGCCACAGGTGCCAATCCCCCACCCTCCTTAGCATCCCTCCTGCTTGGAGCCGGAGTTCCGGTGAAAGGCTCCTGGCACATGCGCTATTTCTGAAACTTCCATCAATAATTAATGTCAACTGTGACAAAGCCAGCAAGTAATTATAGTCCAAATACTGTTCAACACTGGGGCTGTTGCCCAGCCATCAAATCATAATTTACTAAATTACATTGCTCTGTGCTCCCAATACAAACACAGCAAGAAAAACGGAGGAAAGAAAATGACTAACGTGGTTGCAAATCTGTTGCACGCATGGCATTTAGCTACTGAGGTAAGTTTGAAATGAGCAATTTAAAACCTTTTCAGGACAACTATGTCACTTTTTGGAGTGAATTGATCTGATGAAATCCTGTGAATCTCTTCCTTCCTAATTTACAGTTTCAGTCCTTGTTCAAAATTGTGTGTGTGTGTGTGTGTGTGTGTGTGTGTGATATGTTTATGCGCGTGTGATGCCAAGAAATTAAAATTGGCATTACTATCAACAGTGTTAGTGGGGAGGCAAATGGTTAAAGCCAGATGTAGACTCAAGAACTTCTGGAATATGATGGCTATTTCTTTAGATAAAAGCAAACAATATAATTGCAATTTTAAGCTTGAAGGCTTGCTTTTTCCATGCCTCTTCTCAAAAGAACAGTTCTATTAAGACTAAAAGATTGTCTTGGCAGAGGAGAAGAAATGAACAAGGTTGTTTTGTTCATGCTTTGATTTTCTTAGTAATAATTATTAACAGTTCTATGAGAGTAGCCAATGACAGGAGTAAACAAAAGTGCTCGCACATGTCTATGCTGCTGATACAAGTTACCTATGAAGAAATTCCATTAAGAATCATTTGACTTGCCCTAACCGGTTTGGCTCAGTGAATAGAGCGTCGGCCTGCAGACTGAAAGGTCCCAGGTTCGATTCCGGTCAAGGGCATGTACCTTGGTTGCGGGCACATCCCCAGTAGGGGGTGTGCAGGAGGCAGCTGATCGATGTTTCTCTCTCATCGATGTTTCTAACTCTCTATCCCTTTCCTTTCCTCTCTGTAAAAAAATCAATAAAATATATTTTTAAAAAAAGAATCATTTGACTTGTAAGTCACATATGGACTAATTCCAAAAGTCTTATTTGCTTCCAGAAAACTCATTGAAAGTCAACATGGAATAGTTTTAGGCTTTTACATTCCATTGATCCACAAACATTAAAAAAAAGAAAGAAACAGCAACAACAACACACACAAAAACTTGGACATTGAAGAAAGAAAATCAACATAATTTCCAGCTTTTTCCAAGAACTGACATTAAAATTAAATCTACCTGCACCACTACCATCTATTATCATTGTCACTTCATAAAAGAAGAATATATTGACATAAAAATTGTCAGAAGAACAGAATCCCACAATAAAAGACAGTCCTTCCCATGATAAGATAATATCCTATTTCCTTGTTCTTATTTGCCAGCAGCCCAAGAAAACCTGGTCATGCACCATCGTGCACATGTCCAGGGCCCAGCACTGCGGAACCACAGCTGCAGCTCTGGACTGTAGCCATGGGGGCAAGGAAGGGAGCATATTTTCTTCTCAAAGTCATCACTAGCTCAAACCAGCAAACCTGTGCAAAACTGTTTCTCAACCTCTAATTTAAGAAGAATTGGAATAGAATTTGTACTTCTTAATGATTCAAAATGGTCAGACATCAGTTAGGACATTTTTTTCCCTCTAACATATCCCTAAAAGGGAGGGAGTCAAGTATTACTGAATCCACTTTATGATGGAGTGAAGATTCTGTGTCCTTTTGAAGTCCCTGGACTGCCATGATCTGACATCACTGACCATTTGTAGGCTCCATGGTGATGGCAGAGATTTTCTGAAGAAATGACCCTAAAAGCTGCTGTCCTTCATTGTGCATCTACAGTGTCCCTGGTTCTACTTGTCTCCTTCAAGCCTCAACACTACGGTTGAGGAGTATGATCTGTGTGGTGAGTCCTGTGGGCTGCTGGTAAACCTTTAACAAACAGCACCCACCAGGCCAACTTCAAGCTACCTAAGTGGTGTCACTGAGTGCAGAATTGGGAAGAGGGGTGCAATAACACCCCACTGTATAGTATTTCCACTGTATGGACACAATGGATAGAAGAACCTCAAAAGCATAGAAAATAGTAAAATATAACAAAAATTAGGGAAATGTGAGTTCTTAATACAAGTTCTTTAATTGTGATTTGGTATATTTAATTTGTAATATAGGTTGTTAAAACAAGTTTCCACTATTCAGTTATCATAGGCTAGCACAATCCAGTTTCCAGCACACTGCGGGGTAAATCACATGGTCCATAAAAATCTACTTAGCCCTAAACATTAATTTCAAGATAACTGGAGAGATCACTGGACCAATAAAATCTCATTGATGAAAAAACGGAAAGTTAAGTCACTTGTCAGAATTGTTCCATAGTCAGTGGGAGAAGAAATATATTTCACAGGTCACTGATTCTGATACTGTTATGGGTGGGGAGCTCTCCATGTCTGCACCAGTTGACAGCAGAGGTGGATTTCTTGCAGTGTCATGAGAAAAGGAATTTTCTGAAATTCACGTGGGAGAACGAGTAGCATTTGTTTGCATTAAATTACATCCCTGCGTTTCCAAGGTCCCATTTCCCCTCCATCCCACCAAGGAAAGGGTCCTGTTTTGCTTTCAGCAGAGCTGGGATTAAAGCTGTTGTCCAGAGTTGCTGTTTCATGTTTGCATGGTCCAATCCAGCATCAGTGGGAACCACAGCTTGTGGTTCCCACTGCAGTCCATCAGCCCGTTGCATGTGGAGTTTGCAGGACCACATGGCCATGAAGGGAACACAGGCAGGAGCAAAGCCAGAGGAACAAGAACACCAAGAGAGAAAACTCCTTCACCTGAGGGATTACACATTCCCAAATTTCCTTGGGCTTGCAGTGGCCCCACCCCCTTGGCCGATTATCTCTGTTCCAGGTTAGATTAACAGGCACCTTCCCTACATCTCCCCAACCTTAGAGTGAATGCACTCATCTCCCATTTGTTGGACACCTTTCCCCCAGTGATTTTCGGGGAATAGACCAGTGTTTCCCTCAAGAGTGTGAAGTTGCAGCTTCCTGGTAAAGCTGCCCAAATGGAATGCTTACAATGCCTGGCCTCCCTTTTGCCCATTTCCTATGATTAATAATTACCTAATTACAATGGTAGCAATACCATGTGGCATCAAAAGCATCTTAACAAAGAAGGATGAAAATGAAATTCAGGACAATTTCATATCATAGCCAATCCCAGTTTCAAAATAAAAATCGTAAGATAATTTTAAGAGAGAGGTTAAGCTTTCATAAAACAAATAAAAATAACCAAGAAGCAACAAAGCACCACAACAAATAAAACCCATAAGGTAAAAGCATGTGCTGTTATAATTTCTGCCAAGCATAAAAACATTTTTAAGGGAAAATATGCACTAACAAAGCTAAACTTGTAGCAATAGTTTTACAAAAATGGAAACAGAGTTCTCTTCACTATAATTACACAAGTTCTGCTGTAATATAAACCAGCTCAGAATCCAGATTGGGCCCTTACCCTCTGTGTCACTCCATAACAAAGAAAATAACATCTCCAATTGCTGATGAATTATTATTTCCCTTTCTTAACTACACTACTTGGATCAGTCCTGACTTCATGGTTTCTGAGGATCACCTTAATTCCGAAGATGTCAGGTAAGTGACGATTGTAATCTACACGCAGACTTCATGGACTATCTGAAAGTCCCACCTCAGACATTTCATTCATCTCTGAGATTTGGAAACCTTAAAGTGCTCACTCTGACTGTAGCCAAGAGGACCAGTTGTCCACTAATGAAGATGCTCCTCTTCATTAATGTAGAGGAGCAATGTTCAACCTTTTCCATCTCATGGCACACATAAACTACCTACCAAAATGCTGCGGAACAAAATTATATAGGTATAATTTTGATTCATTCACACTGGAAGGCTATTTTTGTGTTGGCTGTTGTCATTTTTTTATTTGATAATCTAAGGGAAAAGAGTTCAGTGCCCCCTGACTAAATAGTCAGGTATTGTATGTTTTAAATATTCTTATGGCACACTGGTTGAAAATGGTTGGTGTAAAGTGGTTGGTAGGAAGCCTCATCACCACCATCCTTGTTTGGAGATGAGTTCTGTGACTTACTTCTGGCCAGTGGAATGTGGGTAGAAATGAGAAACTCAACTTCCATAAATATCTCCTAGTACAAGCATGTCAAACTGTCGGCTCGCAGGTTTGTTTAAACGAAGCCTGTAGCCCGCAGCCACGAGTTTGACATGCTTGTCCTAGCCTATCTTCAACTCACCCATTTCCCTGTCTGCTGGCTAGAAGTAAAGGACTTCAAGACCCAAGAACCTGGCAGGACCCCAAGATAAAGGAGCCTGGGTTCCTGAAATGCCATCTGAAAAGGGTGCCGAGCACCCACATTGGATGGTGGTGTACATGAAAAATAAACTCCTAATCAGTTAGCCTCTGCGTATACGGAATGTATCTGTGGAGATCCCAGCTCTCTCTCCCTTAACTACTGCAATAGCTACAAGGAGACATAATGCCTAATTAGCCCTCCATTGTGTGTTGCTTTTGAATCACCAACTGATTGTAATGTGTGAGTACTGGCCAAATTTTTCTAAAGAGACAGTAAGATAGTTGGTGCTCCAACTATCCCTAACCATCTGAAAGATGGGCTCACTATGCACTGAACTTAAACAACTAAAGAGTTTCACCAGGGTATCTGGTATAGGTATGGGGGGTGTCCAAGATTTCAATGATTGTGGTAGTTTTTAAGTGACAGTATGAAATCATCAAGAGTGGTGGTAC